ATGCATTAATCTCTTTTTTCCCCTTCCATTTTGAAGATCCTGTTACTTGGTTTCCTGGAACTTCTAACAAACTCTGTTTCTGCAAGTAATGTAAGTAACCACTTCAGTTTCTCTTCTGATTTGCTCTTAGTCCTTATCTCCATCTCTGTGTTCATCAATGCTTTGTTTCCAAACATGGAGGCCTAGGATTTGCATCTGTCTGTGAATGACGTTTCTTTGGAAGACTGGTGTTGTTGTTGTGTGCCTTCAAGTCATTTTCAACTTATGGCCACCCTAAGGTAAACCAATCATGGGGTTTTCTGAGGGTTGAGAGTGTGTGACTTGCCCAAGGTCATCCAGTGGGTTTCTATGACCAAGCAGGGATTCAAACCCTGGTCTCCAGAGACGTAGTCCAACAGACTACACCACACTGGCTTTGATTTCCTCTAGGACCAATTTATTTGTCTTTTTGGCAGTCCATAGTATCTGTAGAGCCAGCACAGTGTAGTGGTTTGAGTGTTGGATTAAGACACTGGGGAACCAGGGTTCAAATCTCTGTTTGGCCATGGAAATTTGCTTGGTGACCTTGGGCACATCACACTCTCTCAGCCTTAGAGGAAGGCAAAGGCAACTCCCCAAACAAATTCTGCCAATGATAGAGTTGCCAGAAGTGTTGCTATAAGTTGGAAATGATTTGAAGGCACACAACAACAAACTATCCATAGAATTCTCCTCCAGCACCATATTTCCATTGAGTTGATTTCCTTCTTGTCAGCTTTCTTCTCTGTCCAGCTTTCACATCCATATTTAGAAAATGGAAATACGATGGTCTGGAGCAGGGGTAGGCAACCTTTTCCCTTTAAGGGCCGAGGGACTTCAGCTCCCAGAAGCCTCAGCCATGTTGGCCAATAGTCCCATGTTGGCCAATAGCTCCTGGGATTCTGGGAGTTGAAGTCCCTCGGCCCTTAAAGGGGAAAGGTTGCCTACCCCTGGTCTGGAGTCTCTGGATGATCCTGACTTTGACATTCAGTGACATACAGTTGAGGACCTTATCACATACTTTCATATCCACTTCTCCCAGTCTTTGGATTCCTTGACTGGAGTCTCCATTTTACTTTTTGGCCTCCTGAGCTGGTCCCACTATGCACTGTGTGCCAAAGTCCCCTTTTCTCTCCCTTGAAGTTTTTGCTTCTGATTGGGATTTGGGTTTAAGTTCTCCTTGACCTTCTGCTTCAATCAGAAACTATTGCAAAGTCTACAGGTCTCAAGAGATTTGGAAGACCTCTTCAAGGATCTTGGCAAGGCAGAGTGCGTGCATTGATCTAAGTGGACCTATGGTCTGATTCAGCATAAGGAAGCTCAAATATGCTTGGTTATGCCCTCTTGCCATGTACATCCGCTTATTTTCTGCTCCACACCCATTGACCTGGCAGCCGCAACCCACCACAAGATGCCTTGTGGGCTTGGCTTGCCTCCATCTGTAAGAGGAAGAGTCTCATTCTCTGTCTTTGTCTTCAGGCAATCCAGCTCATCAACAAAGGGAACGACGGAGGAACTGTCTATCAGACAGTGAACATCAACCACAACACTAATGTTGCTGCCTTCAATATTTACTCTGGAGCACACTCCAGCAATGCCATTGTTGACTACAACAATGTAAGTGTCAAGAAAGCCAGTTGGGTTGCACTATTGTTCTTTGACCTGTGGCTGAGATTTTACATTGGGATTGTGCAGCTGTAAACCAATGGAGTTATGCATTGGTTGTGTTATGCTATTGTTGTGTTGAATGGCAAAATTGTGCAAGGGAATGCATGTCCAAATGTGCTTCCAAATGCATAACCAAAGGTGCATCTGTGTGCACAATGGCACAGGTCTTCCTGTGGAGTTGTGTTGAGTGTACTATATGAGCTTTGTGTTGAATGGCAACACTGTCTAAACTACAGTGTAACTGAATACACAACCAGAGGCAGAGTCACATGAGTAACTCAATCTTGGAGTGAGTCAGTTTAGGTATAATGATTTTTTAAAATTATTTTATTTATTCCAAGCATTTATATCCCACTTTTCTCCCACAATTAGCTTCATGGGAAATTTAACCTTTAATGTGTTGGTTTTGATTAATGATTTTGGCTAGGGTTACTTCCCCATCGACCCATGGAAGGAATTGGTGAATAGCAAGCAGTAAATCCTATGGACTCGTTGGGTCTACTGTAGTCTGCTTGGAATAGCCTAAAATGGAGGCCTCCCTGGAAGGGAATCGTTTTATGATGAAGACTTGGCACTTTGTCTTGCAGGGTATCATTGTCTATCACATGCCCTACAAAAGGATATGTGTCGTGTCCAGGATGAACCCGCGGACCTTTCCAAGTATATCACAGCTTGACCAAATGACCAATGAGGTATGTACCAGAGGTTAAAAGAAATCACAAAACTACAAATCCCAGACTTCCATGGCAGTTTAAAACAGTGTCAAACTGCATTATTTCTGCAGTCCAGATGCAGCTTAGGAGATAGGTTTGTCCTGTTTTCTTTCCAAGCTGCTCCACCATGTGGCAGAAGTCCATCAGCAGGTGCTTTTTCTTCTCTTCTGGGCATCTCTTAAACTGATGTCACTTGTGTTTGTCAAAATAATAATAATAATAATAATAATAATAATAATAATAATAATAATAAATTTTATTTATAGCCCGCCCCTCTGCTCAGCAATCGGGGCGGGTTACAGCATTTTAAAACATACAGAGTTCAAAACATTCCCTCATCCCAAAATCTCCCCACCCATCCCATTAAAACAAGATTAAACTATAAGGAAATTAAAATGCCATAGTACAATAAAACCAACAAAACAATAGGGCAACCATAATACAAGGAACACTAAGAACAGCAGATCCCAGTGATTAAGATTGATGTAGCTCTTTATTATCATCCGTCATTGATCCTGGAAAAAACCCGTTTCCCCAAAACGCTTATTCTGTTCCTTGATATAGGGGCGACCGCTGCATTCCCTTCATAGAAGTTATGGGGTTTCTCGCAGGATGGTCACAAATATGGCAGCACTTGGAGGCCCGGTCCAAGCCATCTGTGGAGGCCTGACTACCTATTGGGCTACAGAGTACCCAAGTGAGTTTACCTTGATTTTTATTTTATTTTATTTTTTGCAATTCTTATCAAAAGAGAAATTGACACATTTTGTATTGATTCCATGGGCAAGTCTTTGTTGCTGTTGTTATGTGTCTTCAAGTTGATTTTGATGCAAATTTATTGAGATCCTGCAGAATCCTGGGATTTGTAGTTTGGTGGGAGCAACAGCACTTTTTGGCAGAGAAGGCTTGTAAAAACTACAAATCCCAGGATTCCATAGGATGGAGCTACAGCACTTAAAGTGATGTCAAACTGCATTATTTCTGCAATGTAGATGCACCCTACGTCTCTGAGGATTTAGACTCGTGATCGCAATTAATTACTTTTAAAAGTAGTCTTCCCCAAGTTCTGCTTTGAGAGAATGTGTTTTTGGATTCTCGACTGACCTCATTTAATCTTTTTTCATTTTTAGGGCCACATCCCTTAGTCGGAGGCAGGGCCTGCGCTGGGATAAATCTCCTTATTCTGAATGTGGATTTATGTGGAGGCATTTCCCTCTTCTAACCGAGATCAGGAGTTTGCCTCCCAAACTCATTCTTATCTGCATGATCTTCTGTCCCAAACTTATCTGACTTGTGTCCAATGTCAACTCACAGCTTCCATGTCAGTTGGGCAATGAATCTGCTCTAGGGTTTATTCCAAACATTAACTTCCAAACTTTGAAAGGTGCTGGACCTATTTGGGAGATGTTGTTGTTGTGTGCCTTCAAGTTGTTTCTGACTTATGGCAACCCTAAAACAAACCTATCCTAGCATTTTCATGGCATGTTTCTTCAGAAGGGGGTTGCCATTGCCATCCTCTGAGGCTGAGAGAGTGTGATTCATCCAGGGTCACCCAGTGGGTTTGCATGGCCAAGTCTCCAGAGTCATAGCCCAATGCTCAAACCACTGCACCACAGCATCTGTGAGAACTCCATGAATGTTTGCACTACAACCCGGAGCAGATTCATTGCCTCACTGACACCAGCTCCACCAATTGTTACCACTTGCAACTTGCAAAGTCAAAATGGGTGCCCTTGCCCGCACCATTTGCCAATTGCTTGACAGCCTGGTTGGCAACACAAAGGAGAGCTGGGTTGTGGCCCAAGAGGGTGGGTTGCGCTTCTCTGAGTGGGCAAATGCGTTGCAAGTGGCCAATCCACTCAAAATGGAAGCTCTCTCCATTCGATCAAGGACTAGTCCCCACAAGGAGTGGTCAAGATGAAGGCTGCAATCCTGGACATTGGTTTACTCAACCTCTGATGATATGGAGATGTTTCCTCAAGTCAATGGCATTTGGTCATTCCCAGGCCCAGGGGAAAGTTGAACCCACTATAAGTTTGAATGTGAACTTTAAAAGAGACAGCCAAAGTGTTGAACCCAATTCCCAAAAGAGGTTTGACCCCTTGGATAGCTTCATCAAAGTTTTGGCTTAAACCTGGAGTGGACTCAACACCCCACTGACCTGGAAACCAAGATCAAAGACTTGGAGATGGAAGACCAAGAGATAAATCTGAAGTCCAAACATTTCCACTTTGCAACTGAATCATAGAATCACAGAGTTGGAAGAGACCACAAAATTCATCCGCTCCAACCCCATTCTGCCATGCAGGAATACACAATCAAACATTAAGGTGTTGTTGTTGTTTTTTGTGAGAAGCTGATTTCAACATTCACTGTCTGTCTTTTAACATTTCAAATAATGTAGTTACCTGTAACTACTTACTTTCTTGGGTGATGGAACTACTTCGGATTGTAATGAGAAATAATGAAACTATTTTACTGGTTTGGCAAGTGATGGTTTCTAGTGACTTTTGAAAGTTACTTTCAAAGGGACATGTTGCTGCCATTTAAAAAAAAAATTAAACTTAAGTGTGATTTTCTCTTAAGCACAGTGGCTTTCCATGGCCTAGTGGGGATTCGAACCCTGCTCTCCAGAGTCATAATCCAATGCTCAAACCATTGGACCACGTTGCCCCCCCCCAACTTGTCTAGACCTATTGAATTAATTGTTGAATGGGCCCTGAAGGTAAATCTCAATATTTCAAATAGTTGACTTACAGTTGGGAGTAACAATAGCAATAACAATAAGGCCTAAATACAATGAAGGCACCAGATTCCATGTGAATTTGGAAGCTAAGCAGGGTCAAGCCTGGTTAGTCCTTGGGAGGGGGACCGCTAAGGTATACCAGGCACTGTAGGCTATACTTCAGAGGAAGAAACTGGCAAAACCACTAAGAAAACCCTATGAAGTTCATGGGATCACATAAATGATGGGGAGCATGCAGACACACAGCAAAAGAGGAAGGGGTCCTACATTGTGTTTGTGGGGTGTAAACCTATGTTCATATAGTTATGGGGTAGTTGCATTATGCCACCATTTTGCTGAATACCAGCATTGTGCAACCAGGTTGTTTCTGCCAGTGTAGCCAGTGAAGAAAGTGGTTTATTGAAGTGACTGACAAATAGTTATGCACCATCCAAGAATGCACAAGGCATTTAAGGTTTTGGGGAGAGGAGGGATTCGAACCAACATCCTCAACCTGAGAGCACCTCCCAACAATATCCAAGTCCAAATTCTATTACATGACATTTACTCATGAAATTATGGTTGCTGTGGCCAATCTTATTTGAGACACTTGGTGTCACTCTTGAGTCCCACATGGTTGTGTGTTCGTTGTTTTGGATGCTGCTAATTTAAAGAAATTTAATTTTTACAAAGGATAATTCCAGAAGTCAATGAACTAATGAAATGTTAGCCTGGCAAGAGCATGGGAATAGTTTTGGGGTCACCGTTTTGCTTTTATTTCAAGAGGAGGGGTCAGATTTCCTAGGATTGCACCATTCACTCATTACAAAAGCTTGGAAACAGATTGTAGGCAATGGTTGGCCATGTTTGGTTGAGGGGATTCTGGGATTTGTAGTCCCCCCCAAAGTAACTTCCCCAGGCTTTGGTTGTAGGAGTTAAAAGCCCTGCTGAAACCCTTGAAAGAGGGGTCGCCTAGACCTTCTGGAGTGATAATGGAAACAACTGGAAGCATAATGAGATTGTTTTAAGAAACTTGGAAAGGCTTGGAATGGAACCCAGTTGGTGTCTTCCTCATAAGTAAATTCCCCTACAGAATGGGCTGGACATTTTTGTCTGATTCAAAATGGATGTATTCAGTCCAAGGTTGTGGAAGCAGAGTTGTGCATACAGTACCATTGTGCATGGTTTTTGTCACCTTGGAGAAAGGCAGGGTATAAATTGAATAAATAAATAAATATATGCATGCATGCAGCAAAAGAGAAGCAGCTTTCTGCTTGCCTCTCCTCATGATGTCGTAGCACTTCCTTTCTTCTAGAGAGAGAGATGGGTCCAAAAAACACTGCAGAAATAATCCAGTTTGAGACTGCTTTAACTGCCCTAGCTCAGTGCTGGGGAATCATGGGAATTGTAGTTTATTGTGGCACCAGAGTTCTCTGACCAGAGAAGGTTAAATATCTAAAAAAACTACAGCTCCCAGAATTCCCTAGCATTGAGCCAGGGCAGTTAAAGCAGTCTCGGACTGGATTGTTTCTGCAGTGTGTTTGGGACCGTGGTCGTAAAAAGAAACCTTTTGCCAAACAGATTTTCCCAGCTCAACAAAAGAGATGCTTTTACAACTGTCTCCCTTGGGAAGAGAGCAGAAGTGCTTTGAGGGCATGTGGAGAGGTAAAAACAGCAGAAAGCTGTTTCTCTCGTGCTGCATGTTGGCTTACTTTCTCATGCAATAAGACTCTCAGTGAAAAGAAGAGGCGTTAAAGCAAGGCTTGTTGTCATGGGCCAGGAGCTGGAGGACTGGGACTTGGAGGAAAAGTCTAGTGAGGAGGCTGAAGGAAGGACCCAGGCAAGCCTTCCAGACAAGGAACAGCCTGAAGCTCTCCCTGTTGCAGAGCAGCCTCAGGCAGTTCATCCTGTTGAACTGCAGCCTCAGTCAGCAGGACAAAAGCAAGACTCCGCTGCTGATGAAGCAGAGGACTCAGCTGGGTACTAAGTTCTCAATCAAGGAGGAGGGAAGCTTTATTAGGACCAGCTGGACTCAGGCCAGTTAAGAGCTGAGGGTTGGAAGGAACTGGTCTGCTTCTTGGTCAGCATTCCTGTCCTGTTATTCCTGCACTGCATACTTTGGGCTTCCTGGACCCTTGGACTGTATTGACCTTGATTCTTGTTGCCTCCCTTGACTGGGACTGCTTGACCAATGCCTTTCTCTTAATGGACTCCCCCAGGCAAGGACTTTTTCTAGCTGCTGGTGGTGTAATGCCTCTGCCTGCATTATCAGTTGATGGTTCCCTTCAGCCAGCCTTTGTAGGTGTTTGGTGAACCAAGACAAGAATGGGCAAATTGTGGCCTTGGGGCCACATATGGCCCCCGATGATAAGTATGGCCCCCAAGTCCCTTGAACTGCCTGATATCTGGGCAAATAAAGAGAATGAGTAGCCTCTCCCAAAATCCTACAGGACAAGGTGACCAGATGTCCTAACTGCAAAGGAAAACAAGGTGCTGTAAAATATAGGACCTTCTAGAAAAAGGTAAGATATTTCCAAATCAGAGCTCAAAACACTGATAGAAATATAATTGTATGCTTTTTTAGCCCTGCTCAAAGTGGAGGGTGTTTTGAAATTCCTCCTGGACAGAAGGTTAAAATGGAGGGCACGTCCTGGAAAAAGAGAACCTCTGGGTCACTCTGTTCTGGGATTTACCTTTCAGTTAGGTGACAGAGCCTTACCATTTAAAATTTCCCTATCTTTTAAAACCAGAAGGGGTTGGGGGGATTTGTCTAGGTTTGTCCTTCTCTCTTTTGGGTTGTTTTCTTCCTGTTTGTGTGCATTTTTGGTGGTCTTTGGGACTTTGGTGGTCTTTTGGGGGCTTTGGCTGGGGGATGGGGCAGATGCTTTCTCCTTTCCCGCCACTAGGGGGCAGCCTTGGAACTGAGTTGGATGGGAAGGAAGCCCAGGACCCACTTCTTCCAAAAAGAGAAAAAGCAAGTGTTGGGGGGGGGGG